CAACGGGCACTACTCTTTGTTAACATAACAGAAATATATTCCCAGTGGTGTACTCTACAGTCAGTGTGTAACACAACACATCCCTTGGTTAACAAACTGCACCTCCTTGATAAGCACTCAATATTTAAGATTGAATTCCTCCACAAAGCAGGTGGGTGCAATGCCTTACATAACACAAATACGTCAGGATTAAACCAGGAGTGTTTAGTGGTGCTAGGAATAGTTTTCAGTTTGTTTTTTAAGTAATATCTTTTTGCACAAACAGGTAAGTTCAGGTTTCACTTTACAATGAATGTAGATTTATGAACAGAGAGAGTCCACAGCAGCTGAGGCCTGTACTACGAAGCCGGATTTTCGCTTAGCGAGCTAACTTCAGGGTAAACTCTGGGTTTCCGGTCCTACGACGCTGGTTCTCTTCTTACCGGGCTAGATCTCCATGGTAACTTATGCTGAACGGCTAACCTGCTCCGGAGCAGGTTAGCGGAGACTTGCAAAAAATTCACAAACATCAAATGTGTAATTCGTGGCACAATTCAAACGGGATCGAAAGATAATCTTTCTCTCTCCATTGACTTCAATACATAATTTTTCCGAAATAAGGTCCCATGGAGGTCCACCGGAAGGGGAGGGACTTCGCCTCTCCATTGAGATTAATACACATCATGTACAACCAAGCGGCAAACTCTGGGGAAGAGCCGGGACGCCAATACGGAAGTGCCACAAATTGCAGTTCATATATTGGCCGATAGGCGCTGACTGCAGAAAGGAGCAATTTCCATAGACCCCCATGTTAAAATGCCCAATTTCACAGCCTAAAAAAACATGTTTCTACCTATGGATCCAATAAATATTATTATAGATATAGTTAGATTCCACCTTCATGATTATGGATCTGTGAGTGAATTGTATTCTAACATGACCCTTTTATTTATATTAGGTCTTAAAGTTTTTGCATAAATTAGGGCGTGGTCACATTGAGTGACAGCTCTGTCAAGTGACTGCTGCTGTTAGCTTCTTGTCTCTCTGCTAGCTGCTCCGTCCGTGAAGCTACAGGGACTCTGCCTGCCCAGTTCATCCAGGGAACACAACTTGACCCCGGCCGTGTTTGTTTGTTCTTCATGCTTATATATCGGACTATTGTGACTCGCTCTACGGTTAAAACAGACGGTGCATGAATGCCGTTTTGCGGTAAGTGAAATTCGAGTACTTTATTTATGTGTTTATGATTTTAATCAGCTACGTAATGAATGTTAAGGCTTGGGTTTGCGTGTAAGCGAGTGGTAGCTACATCGGTGCTAACGATGCTAATCGTATCCTCAAAGTTAACTTAAAACCATAGACTGTATATATAAAGGTTAAAATGAAATAGACAAGTGTTAAGCGTTAAGTGAGATAGTACTGTAGAACAAAAGGCTTCTGTTTGAGGTTGATAAAATAAGGTCATCCTTGTAACTTAGAGAGATATTTTATTATGTAGGTAGGAACTGTATGCATGCTAAGGTTAATTTAAATTGGCTATGCTCAAGTATGTAGACAAGCTAACGTCGAAGTAGTGTATGTGAAATCAACCTCACAATAAGATGTGTGTATATTACAATTATTAATGTCATATTTCAAGATGATTACTTAGATATTACAATATGGTTGGTTGAGCTGGAGTTCATTATTGAGCTTACACGTTAACGTCACAGTCATCTGAAGAACGAACCCAAACCTTGTTGTTTTTATTAATTGCATTACCAAATTGGTATCAAATAAATAGTAAGCATTGGTAACACAACTTCCAAAGTTACAGTAAAATAAAAAGGACCCTGACTCGGGCAATACACAATCCAACATGTTCAACAGAAGAGAATAAGTTATATTGTTTGTACACATGGTTCTTTACATATATATCTGTTTGTTTAAAGTTTCCCGGTGATGCAGACAGGCTGGACCAGAGAGTGAGAGACAGAACTGGACTCCTCACAGCAGTGAACTTCAGCACAGGTACAAATACTCTTTTTTCATACTGTACAAAGAATCAAGAAAGATATTGGTTTAAATAAATGAAGTATTGACTTTAATACACTGTTATACATTCCATTAAACAATACTAAATACTAGATCACCTACACATCAGTGAAGTTGAGGGTTTTTTCCATGCAAAGGGTTACATGTTAACAAGCAATATTACTTTGTCAGCTTTCTAATTTAAGGTATTGAAGGCAAAGCTATTAGTGACAACTGCTATTTATCTCTCAATATTGTCTGTAAAAAACGTGGTAAAAGTTATGATTTCAGTGAGACAACAGAGCAAGCTTCTACAGTTGCACTAAGTTTTGATAACAGTTAAATATTATTTTGATAATAAAATATATTTCAATGTTGATGAATTTCATACTGTTCATTCATAATCTGATTGTCTTTGTAGCTCACTGTTGAAATAAAATAAAACATTACAATTACAAAATAATTATATCTTCAGCCCCTAAACACAAGCACACCTCTTTCATAAATAACACACTTGTTCTGCAATAATATGTTTTATGTTTCCTGTAATTTTTGTTAGGAAAGGACATGCCTGAAAGACACGACTCAACATTTTCTCCTTCTCTGAGGGTCAAGAAGAACATCCAAGAGGAAAATTAAAAGCTGATGTTATGAGATGTTAAGACCAGTACAGGACATTCACTAAGAAACTACTTTTATTGTGAAGTCAGCTGATCGAATGCACCTATTTCCACATCTACACTCCATCAGCTGATTAATTCTATTTGCCTCACTTTATGAGCTTCACAACACCTGTACCTTGTACCGCAGAGTTTGCAACGTCACAAATAAATGGGGCCAATCTTCAGTCAGATGTGAATGTGTAATCTAACATTTTCAGTAAGAATAATGGACAAAAGGAGTGCAAATACAAATTCAATTTATTTAAATCTGAACCAAAAGTTAATCAAACATGTTTTAAATAAAAAAGCACATATGGACAGAAGGTGTAAACCTATTAAATGTATAAGTAAACACATTTACTCAAATATAGTGACAGACTAGGCCTGATCAGGTGGTATCAGCTATGCATGGGCTCCTCCATCAGGCCTGGTCCTCCTCGCTGAGGAAAGACCCTCCGTCCTCTCCAAACCAACAGACAGGACGTCCATCACACGGAGGTTTCTCCCTGAAGTCTCTGCAGCTCTCGGGACACCACGCTGTCTCAATCCGTCCACACTGAATATGAGTGGGGGAAAATGAAAATAATAAATGCTAATAAGAAATATAAAGTTGACTGTTGAGTTGCTCAGTTTTTTTAGATTGTCAATACTATTACTGTATAACTAATATCTCAGGTTAAGAGGCACCTTCAAATAAAGATTGGTCTTTAAATACATTTTGTCTTTTGAATTGTTTGTCTAAAGTCAAGGATCTAGAACTGGTACTTATAGTTTTAATGATACAGTCTGGTTATAATGCTGTTTGGAGGAGGCCTCACAGGTAAGAGCACTAACTAGCTACCATCACATGTACTGTACCTTAGCTTGACTTAAAAGTATTAAACGTATAATTAAGTGATAGCAAAATATAAATAACTAATGTCATGCAAACATATTAATATTTGCTTGATTCCAGTGTTGCATTTAGCACATTGCATACAAACGTTAAGGGATTTTAAGATTCTGAAGTATTATGCTAAAAACTCAATAACTTAGATTATTATTTATAGTTTTGCTGAATAGTTTCATGTCCGCTTACCTTAGAAACGTAAAATGTGACGGCAGTGTGCAGATGGGGAAGCATGTTAGCTTAGCTTCTTAGCTTGAGCTAGCTCTGTTACTTCCCAGCTGGAGGCAGCAAGTCCCGCCTCGGCTCCGCCTCTTTGCCCTTATTTGGAGCAGGCGGGAGTTAGACTCAGACGTCACTGTTGAGCCGTTAGTGGCCGACTCCGCCTACTAAGGGCTTCTCGGCAACTCTGCAGAATCCTATGGGTGACGTCACGGACCCTACGTCCATTTATATATACAGTCTATGTGTACAACCAAAGATATTTTGTTTCTATTGGTAACATGTTTTAAATCCTTATTGTAAATAGTAAATCCATTTCCTGTCCAATTATTAAACTGTGCAAAAATCATAATTTAAAATAATTTGTATTATTACAGTATTTCATAGAGAGCAATAATCTGGATTTAATCTGATGCACCACTGTATATATTGTAAATATACAGTTTTACAAATGTGTTGGTATATATTCTAGTACAATGTGGACAATATTTGTATATCTTATTGCACATTGTTATTTACACTTTACTATAATGAACTGTCATTTTTTATTTGTATTGCCTTGCAAAAAAATGAAGACAATTTAACGTCAATATATATTTTTTTAAATATATCTTTCGAAGAGATAGAGATTAAAAACGAATAATGTCATAGCCATGCTTTTAAAATCTAAATATGGTCATAAATAAGATAAAATTACATTTTTGGATGGCAAAGTTTTGAAAAATCGCTCGAAAAGGAGAGCTTTCTTTTAATAATAGTGAAATAGAGTAATGTATTATCAATTGTAGATGTGGGGGAAACTTCTGAAGCAATTGGAGTCAGGACTCAGAGAGACACGAGGAGAGCTGGAGCTTTGATGGCAAACACTGACGCTTTATTTGGAGCTTCGGAGCTTCGGCTGGAGAATTCACACGACATGTCACGGGCCACGAGTTGACCACACGGTTGAGATGCCACAATCAATTCTGAAGAACCCCCCTGTAGCTCCATGGCTCGGGGTCATCTACAGCCCGAGAAGGATGTGTTCCAGGTGTCCCACAACAATAACTATCTCTCACCGACAGTTGCCCGGTCACAAACTGGTAACAACAACAACTTGCGAGGGCAGCCCCTCCTTAAGGGAGAGAACGGCTGCTCAAGGTTGGTCAGCTGCGTCAGAGGGCAAAAGGTAAACATGTATACAGAATTATTCCCTGACAGTAGAGATGCTTGAATCTCAGTAAAAACTCAAAGACACATTTTCAAAATAAAAATCATTTATTAATACAAACACACTTTGTTATACATTAACAGGACCAAATCTCACCCAATGAAAAAGCCACATTGAGCAGAAACGTGGACTGAACCTGAACCTCAAAACCATTTAATAAAATAACTACATCACGTTAGGTAAATTACAAAATAAGACGAAATTACAAGCAATGCTATTGAATAGTTACAAAAAAATACAACAACCTTTGTAGTTTTACAAACTGCGAGATAGTTTCACATGAGGGGAAACAGAAAGCCATGAAAAAGGACATGATTGGGCGGAGGAGTTTTAATCCCAGGAGGAGGACTTGGTGGTGAAGGGAGTTCATGATGCTGCTTTTTTTTTACGCTCTCTACAGGAATGTTTTTTGGTTTTTTCTAAGACCGGGGACGATTTATGTCGCAAACTCGTGGTAGCCATAGCAGTCTGAGACAAAGTCACCTAAAGAGTGAGACAGGGCAGAGAAGGGAAAAAAAAATTAGATTGTTTATTTGGATTGTTTTTTTATCTGCTCAAAGGAGGCAGTTGAATGACTCATTGGGTCAGATTTCTTTTAGGTTTTTATTTTTTTAGATTTCTCTGCTCCCGTCACGCTCAGGTAGGTCAGTCCTCAGAGGGAAAAAAAGGGCTTCTCTTAAGAGGTCGGCTTGTCAAAAAACAGATTCAATCCTGTGGCTTAAAGCAGAGAAATGTAAAATCATCCAACTGGGAACATCCCGACATATTTAAACATTATATATTCTTGTTTCCTGGAGTTTCTATAATAGGCTAAAATCCCTAGTTAACCCTTAGATGCACGAGTGACTGGACCCTACACTCTTCCATAAGTGGGTCAAAAAGGACCCGTAAAGAAAAAAATACGTTTTCCCATAGGATCCCATAGAAAATGCATGCGGGTCATTTTTGACCCACTTATGGAAGCTTGGGGTAGCAATACAAAAACTACTATTTCTTTGAATGGCATGATATCCAAAACATGTTTTGAGGAATAGCCTGGAATATGAAATGATAAAAAAAAAAAAATGTAATTACAAAGATACTTCAAGAAAACCACCTCACCGGGTCAAAAAGACCCACTTATGCATCTAAGGGTTAAATCAATAAAACACATTAGAGCCCTGACCCGTGACACAACAACATATTTCCAACTTGACCATTTTACATTAATAACCACGTGATAGATAGTAAGTTAAAGTGCTCATCAAACCTTTTCATCTTATGCCACAAAGTGCTTCTTGTTTAGAACTCAGTGTAAACTAGTCACTGTAAATGATCAAATAGTAAACACTTCATGGTGTTTCGCTGGTAGCTTTTAATAGTCCATCTATGGAACATTTGAGTTCCTTCAAGGCAGACTCAATAGAGTGGCGAAGTCTCTCCACTTCCGGTGGACCTCCATGGGACCTTATTTCGGAAAAATTATGTATTGAAGTCAATGGAGAGAAAGATTATCTTTCGATCCCGTTTGAATTGTGCCACGAATTACACATATGATGTTTGTCAATTTAAAAGATAATTTTGCAAGTCAAAAAAAAAAAGTGTCGTAAAACTGTGAAGTAACACATTTGTTTGTGTGAAACGCTCAATGACCTACATCTCTGGTCTCACAGAACAACACGCGTCACCAAGATGGCCGTCACTACTGTCTTGTCAACAAAACGATTGACTACCCTCACTATCACCACAATGAAACACGTCCTGAAGAATGTCATGCAAAGCTGCCTGCCTGCCTTCTTTTGATTCTCTCTGAACTGCCTGGTCGTTGTAATGTTTAATGTCAACCATTTGTGCAGATAGCATGAAGTAGAGAAGATCATCGAAGCTAGCGTTAGCGTTAGCATTTCTCCCCCGGGCTTAAATTGTGTATTATAGAATGATCACACCGGTGTGACAGTACTCTTCAAAGGGTTCACGAAATATGACTACTACTCTTACTGTTTAACATTTTGGGTTACTTAATGTTACTTCATGTTAAGGCTAATAAAAATGACAAGGCTGTAATGCTAACTAACGTGCTAGCTACTAGCTAGCATGATCCAGACACTGCTGGTCCTTTCATCAGACGGGAAGCGAAAAGAACGAGCAAGACCCATTGCTGGTATGAACAACCTGGTACTAAGCACACAGGCATCTTGTTAAAGTTATCTTATCTTAGCCAGCGCCATATAGATAGATTATATCTATATTGCGCTGATCTTAGGTATCTGAATGGTGGAGGTAAACAATTGTGACATCACTTACGCGACTCTGGGATTTGTAGTCTTCCTAGTTGCGTACTTTTCATAGTCTTATATTTCAACAGTTTTACGACAAACTGTGACTTTTTTGACATGGAAATGATTTTTTAAGATTGACAAACATCATATGTGTAATTCATGGCACAATTCAAATGGGATCGAAAGATAAGTTTTCTCTCTCCATTGACTTCAATGCATAATTTTTCCGAAATAAGGTCCCATGGACCGGAAGTAGATGGGCGTGACTTCGCCACTCTATAACTTCCTTGGTCTCAACAGAAAGAAGTGTTGGCAGTGTCAGTGCAGTCTCTTTTCTTAAGTCCTGATGAACTCGCCTTCTTCACAGCTTTCCTTAACCTCATGGCCTTTTTTCACTGAGGTTAAGAAAAGACATGATTCTTTTTTTGACCATGTGGCCAAGCAGCAACCCTAAACATGCAGTAAAAACCAGGATTAAAAGGAATACTCACTGTATCCGGAGTTGGCATTGTTCCCGTACCCGTATGATCCGAAGCCACCTAGCGGGAGGAAAGACATTTAATACGCTGTATAATCACTAAAGTATAAGAAACTTCTGCTCGTCTTTAAGATAAGATAAGACTTTATTCATCCCGAAGGAAATCGCTGTGCCAGAGTTACAAAAATACAATAAACCCAGCAGCAGCATAATAATAAACTGTACACTAACAGGGCTATTCAATTAGTTTGGAATGGGCCGGTTGATGAAAATGATCCAAAGCAAGGGGCCAGGAAAAAGATGGCTTGAAATATGAGCAATCATATTAAGAGCTTCAGATACAGTTCATACTACAACAGCATAGTGGAGTGCATATATTGTGTTCATTAATCAAAACAACATAAAAAAATCCATAAAAAAAATGTCATCTGTGGAAGCCGTGATACTGTAAAAAAGGCACGACCAATCATTTTTAGCCGGCCCGGCTAAAATAACTGGATGGCCCTACCTGCCTGTCAGCCTTCCATCTGTGCACAAACTTATCTCGTGCCCTCATTGGTCATGTGCGCGTTCGTGTGTGTTGGAGGAGGGACTCTGTAAGGAAGTGGCAGATTTTTTCCGGCTGTGTATTTTCAAATTCGAGTGCACTCGAGCTGGTTTCTCCACAATTACCTACCCCACCTTTAAGTCAATTTTTCTGGTATCAGTACTTTACTTATTTTTACTGACTACTTTTCACTTTGACTTCTTACATTTTGAACACAAATACCTGTACTTTCTACTTCTTACATTTGAACCCAAATACCTGTACTTTCTACTTCTTACATTTTCCAAACAGGCTGGTTCCTTTAGTAATTAAAAACAGTTATTTTAGATGACACAGCTAACGTGTAGGATCGGAATATTTCGAGCCATGCCTGAATGCACCTCTGCCCAGCGTTTGCTCGCGCCAGAAAGACATTTAAACCCGAACGCTGTGTCTCCGCCCCCTCAGAAAATTATAAATATTGGAAGCTCCTTTCTTCCTTTCACTACAACCTTCAACAACCGATTCTTCAGTGTCGGAAAAAAGCAGGGGAAAAATCCTACCAAAATGGTGAGTACTGACGAACAAAACAATTATATAAATAATAAAACTACCGGTAATTAGATTTTTTGCAGTTAAAATCCCGTTTATGTGCCTAAATTGAGGTGGCTTTAGTCCAAACAGTTGGCGCAGTTCAAATCATAACGGTTGAAATTGGCGGTTAAAACGTAACTTCCATCGCTTTAAACTACAGTCAAAGATACTGTATCGACATCTGGGCAATTTTTTTTCTCCAGTTTAATAGAATGAAAGCATACAGTATAAAACGGTATGCGAAAAACTGTTTCTTCCCATCTTTGTGGGTTTGGAAGACATTACTGTAAGCCGGCGAGCTAGAGGACTCCATCAGATAACGAGTCGGTCCAGGAACGTTACAGAAAGGCAGGGCTTTGCAGTAGGGAGGAGAGATGTTGCTCGTTTTGGGAGGCCGGACAGGAACACGTGACTCAGCACAAAGTCACTAGGGTTAGGGTTTATAACCTGTCAGCGCCCAAAACACACCATTTTAAAAGGGAATGATTTTTTAGGGAAATATTGTCCAATAAATCGACCATATTGTAATGTACCCCTCCCTCCCAACCTTTTTAATGTATCCCCTGTGACTGTAATCTAATAGTGTGTAGATAGTGTTGGTAATTGGTTAATTTAATTGCGACAAATCACAATTTTAGAGTTGAATCCAGTTGTGTTTTATTTGTCAAATTGACACATGGAAACGGTTTGTATTAACATACGTTGTAGTACTTGTATAAGGAGGTCAGTGATTGCACTGTATAAACTGACATGGAATGTATCTGTTCAAATTCAAAATGTAATCTGCTCTTTAATAAAATAACTGTTTGTCTCTCCTCCACAGCGTGAGTGTATTTCTATGCATGTCGGCCAGGCCGGAGTCCAGATGGGCAATGCCTGCTGGGAGCTCTACTGCCTGGAGCACGGCATCCAGCCTGACGGTCAGATGCCGAGTAACAAGACCATCAGAGGAGGAGACGACTCCTTCAACACCTTCTTCAGCGAGACTGAGCCGGCAACACGTCCCCAGAACCGTCTTTGTGGACCTGGAGCCCACTGTCATCGGTAAGGATACACATATTTTTATTTAACCCTTGTGCCCTCCTCGAATTTTCAACCTTTCGACCCCTTCGTGGCAAAATGTACACGCCCATAATAAACTGCTACTACAATCATCATACATCAACATTTCTTTCTACTTTTTTTTCATGAATCACTTAAACAACTTATAAACGTACTCAAAACCTACCAAACATTCAATAATTTTCTGGATTTTAACCCTTTAAAATGCCCTGTTTAATTATTTGAATTATTTCATTATTTATGACAAAAAACACAAAAATGAATTTTTTTCAATATAATAATTAGTAGAGGGATGGAACTTTGGTGGTTATTAGAGTCTTGGAATGTGTCAAAGATTAGCAAACAAAATTGATTTGACTGCATTATTATTTTTTACGTAGTATCGAATACTACCTCTGGACACCTTCGTGGCAATAAATGTACACGCCCATAATAACTGCTATTAAATCATCATACATCAATATCTTTTCTACTTTTTTTTTCATGAATCACATATACAACTTTCTAACGTATTCAAAACTACCAAACATCAATCATTGGCAGGATTTTAATAACCCATTAAATGCCTGTTTAATTATTTGAATTATTTCATTATTTATATACAAAAAAACACAAAAAATGAATTTCTTTCAATATATAATTAGTAGAGGATGGAAACTTTGGTGGTTATTAGAGTCTGGGATGTGTCAAAGATTAGCAACAAAATTGATTTGACTGCATTATTATTTTTTACGTAGTATCAGATACTACCTCTGGACACCTTCGTGGCAAAAATGTACACGCCCATAATAACTTCTATTAAATCATCATACATCAAATATCTTTTTCTACTTTTTTTTCATGAATCACATAAACAACTTCTAACGTACTCAAAACTACCCATTTTCGGTTTCGATTTTAAACCCTTTAAACGCCTGTTTCATTATTTCATTATTTCATTTATCTCAAAAGGCCTCATTGACTTCCATTCAGACCACATTGTTGATCTCATTGCCATTGCAGTATAAAACCATGCATTTTGTAATGTCCAGCATTTCATTTAGAAGAAAAGTAGTGATATTTGATATTTCTACTCTATTCCAACAGATTAAAACCATTTTCCCACTGTAGGCCGCATGCATTAAATTCTTACATTTTTGCCAGTTATATTATGGAGCCGTGTGACTACCAGGGGGCCCCGAGAGTGGTGTGTGTGTGTGTGTGGTGTATGTATATGTATGCGTGTGCGTGTGCGTGTTGCGTGTGTATATGTGCGTGTGTGTGTGTGTGTGTCATTTCCAGCAGCAGACTAGCAGGGTCCTGCAGCATGTGACCTGGTGCTCTCAGGTGATAGGAACAACATTTTTTTAGGCCTGTGCACAAACCAGGCACACACCTCCTCCTCCCTCTCCGTGTGTGTGTGAGAATCTGTAAGCATGCACAGATCATTTCAATGGAACAAAAGGCCATCTTTGAGGGATGTGTTTTGATGTGTCTTTGAAGAGCTGCTTGATTACTCAAAAACAAAAACAAATGTTAGTGTGTTTATGCACCTGGCTGCAAAGATAAAAATGCAGTTTGGGACCAAGGGCTTATTTCATTAGTGAGCAGAGAAGGAGAAAGACCTGGAGCAAAGAGAAGGAACTCAAATGAAGAAGCTTTTCAGTGCAGAAGAGACTTCAGAAATAATCTTGCAGCCTTCTTCTGCCAGCGAGCTGCAGGACTCATCTGAAGAAGACACAAGGTTCGAGCTGGGGTCTGACACTGAATGCTCTCTGGAGTCCAGCATTTCTTTGAGTTCCTCTGACCCTTCATCTGAAAGTGGAGAGGACACTGAGGGTCCGGCCCACAGTGAGGGGACAGAGAAGAACGGAGGTCGTTCTCCCAGGAGCTGGGGAAAACCAGGGTGTCCTCACAGATTGTGAGAAGAAAGCCCCCCGTGGTGGTGGATGGTGGGCCGGACCCTTAGTGTCCTCTCCACTTTCAGATGAAGGGTCAGAGGAACTCAAAGAAATGCTGGACTCCAGAGAGCATTCAGTGTCAGACCCCCCTCGAACCTTGTGTCTTCTTCAGATGAGTCCTGCAGCTCGCTGGCAGAAGAAGGCTGCAAGATTATTTCTGAAGTCTCTTCTGCACTGAAAAGCTTCTTCATTTGAGTTCCTTCTCTTTGCTCCAGGTCTTTCTCCTTCTCTGCTCACTAATGAAATAAGCCCTTGGTCAAACTGCATTTTTATCTTTGGCAGCCAGGTGCATAAACACACTAACAGTTGTTTTTTGTTTTTGAGTAATCAAGCAGCTCTTCAAAGACACATCAAACACATCCCTCAAAAGATGGCCTTTTTTTCCCAT